TTTAATGGTAAAATCGAATATACCATGGGCTGCCAGAAGAACAGGAAAAAAATTAGTTTCAGAAGAAATACAACTAGAATGCTCCTTTGAAGCAAGGATGGCAAGACTTCAGCTCACTTATGTTGGACACATCATCAGGAAGGGCCAATTGCTAGAAAAGGATATCATGACTGATAAAGTAACGTCAGTGAAAAGGTCAGAAAAAAGCAATGGACTCAAACATAGCAACAATCGTGAAGATGGTGAGGGACCAGGCAATGTTTCATTCTATTATACACAAGGTCGCTATCACCATGAGTCAGAATTGACTCCACAGCAACTAACAACAACAAATCTAAATGAGGCAGCTATATAAAAACTAATGTAGAATTGATTTCCTAAAAAGCAGAGTGCAGAGTGCAATGTATACCATGATATCATTTGTTACCTATGTTTACATATATATATAAATAGTTGACATACATATCTACTCTCTTATATGTCTAGAATATCTCTGTAAGAGTATACAAAAAATTGGTAACAGTAGTTGCCTCTGGGTAGAGGAAATAGATAGCTAAGAAATTCTATATTATACTATGTACTGCCAATTAAACAAAGAAAATAAAGAATTTTATAAATTGACTTTGGAAAATATTCTCAAATTTGAACTATAAAAAATGTATTTAGAATTGCCACCTAAGTTGAAATATACAGTAAATAATTACTATATTGTGATTTGCACAATAGAATGAGTTAAGAAAATTACTATCATCCTTTATTTGGAAAGCAAACTACCCCTTTGACATGAACAGAAAATCTAAACTGAGGATGAAAGTATAATATCCAGGTCAAGAAATGTATTTTTTTCACCATTTTTGTTACAGAAATGCTTTACCTGAAAGATTATAATATCCACATAATAAAATTTCAATAAATATTTATGGAATGATTACTTTCTATTGATTTCTGTGTTTGCTTTTCTTTTTTTTTTTTCACAATACAACACCACACGCTGGAAAAATGAATTATGCTTTTTTCCAAAAATTTATTCTTTATTTCCCAACAAAAATACGTCATTAACATTACCACAAGTCAAGTCAACATTATTTATTAAGCACCTACTATGGGAGCTCTGGGAGCTCTGGTAGCATAGTGGCTAAGGCACTTGACTGCTAACCAGGAGGCTGGCGGTTCAAACCCACCAGCCACTCCTAGGAAGGAAGATGGGGCAATCTACTTCCGTAGTGATACTGCCTCGGAAACCCAAGGAGGGGTTGCTACGAGTCGGGCCAACTCGAAGGCACATAACAACAACAACATGGGAGCTCTAGGAGCTCTGGTAGCGTAGTGTCTAAGGCACTTGACTACTAACCAGAAGGCTGGTGGTTCAAACCCACCAGCCACTCCTCGGAAGGAAGGTAGGGCAGTCTACTTCCGTAGTGATACTGCCTTGGAAACCCAAGGAGGGGTCACTATGAGTCGGGTCGACTCAACGGCACCTAACAACAACAACAACAATGGGAGCTCTGATAGCATAGTGCCTAAGGCACTTGACTGCTAACCAGAAGGCTGGCGGTTCAAACCTACCAGCCACTCCTCGGAAGGAAGGTTGGGCAATCTACTTCCCTTAGTGATACCTCCTCCGCAACCCAAGGAGGGGTCGCTATGAGTCGGTCCAACTCCATGGCACATAACAACAACAACATGTGCACATGAACAATGAAATACTGAAGAAGATTCTAACCCTAAGAAAGTTCACAGTCTTAAAAGATAAATCATAAAAACATTAATCAGTTAAAGGAGACTAGAGATTCAACTGATAGAGTTATCCAAACTAAAAGTACTACAGAAATTCATGCAAGAAAAGAAGTAGTTATTAACTAGGGATCTACTGAAATGTAAAAATGCTTCCAAAATTATCTCACTCTGCACAAGATGGAATTATTTGATGGTGACAGACTTCCTAACGTATGTGGATATTCAGTTGGGCTTTGAAGTAGTTGCTAATAATTATGTATAGTTCATAATTATTCAGGCTCCAAAGGAGAGAGATTACTCTAGTGGTCTCAATCTGTTTGATCTTTCACATCTCTCATTAAAAATGTTTCATTACCACAATTCAAAAAAAAAAAAAAAAATTCCAGGCATGAAATTCTTAATATATGTACATTTATGTACAAATTATATGCATGTGAAAACAGTCAACCATACATTAAATAGTCATAAAGCTTAATTTTTCCAATAAAAATAAAAATGCAAAATGCAAATATAAGTTCTAACATTTTCTTCCTGTACTCCCATATAGCATCTTCTGATGTCCTTGAATTTCCACACTCCACTTTGCATGAATACTAGATATGAATACTGAAACTCACAGATCATGCAAAAATATTTTTTATCCAACAGTTTCAATCTCCTCACACATCAAACTTGATTTTTATTAACATAGTTGTTAAGAAGCAGTAAACATGAATTTGAACTTCAGTTTATTTTCCTCTGTCCATGACCTTCTCTAAAAATCATTGTTAACATGCAACATCATATTATTTAACACCCAATATTAATAATGTACCATTTACTGATAATAAACTTTCAAGTTCTTCAAAACTATTTGTCTCTATAGTGATTCTGATACAAAGTCTGCATTCCTTTCCTCATTTCCCTTACCTACTCTTATTTTATTACAAAAGCCAAAAGCATTTCAGAGAATTTTTAAAATTATCAAATATATTGTATTTTAACCTCTTTTGAAAATTAATAAAAAATAATTCTGAAACTGTGTAGTCCACTTTGACCTAAGGCTCCTTCCAAGTCTAAGTTAGATTGAAATGCAAATATTTACTTAAAATAAATCTGAATAGGTTTTCCATCAATGTAAAGGCATAGACTATAAGAATATATAGTTACAGAATGTTTGTAAAAATGAATGTACAAACATGATGACAAGTATTTACACAGTATGTAGGTTTATATATAGATGTAACACATACACATGTAGCTAGCTGAAAAACCCTGTCACATTTTCCTAGTAAAACAGACTCTTAGTTTTGAATAATTTATAATTCATTACTCAAAAGTTCATTTAAATTTCTATATATTTTACAGAACAATTGAAATAAAATATCTATTGCAACAAAATGCCCTGTACTTTGGAACAATATATAGATTTAGAACAATATATAGATTTAGAACTAACATAGGCAATAAATACTATGGTTTAGCATATTATAAAGAAATAAAAGCACATCTTAAATTTAAATATTTGGATCAAAGAAATACAACTATGTTTTTTGAATATCACTTTTGCAACTGATTTTTAGCAATTATTTTAAAAATTGTTAATCCAAATATTTAAATATCAAATTCTTAGTTTCATATCAAAAGCATTGTTAGTATACATAACAAAATTAAACAAAGTTAGAAGTATGCGCAAAGATCTTTTAAAAACAATGATTTATTCTATTAGTTCCAATAAACTATTTAAGTCCCTTAAATTTTTTCATATCCCAAACAAGCATTCAAATTTAGAAATCATCTTTAAAGAACTGAGTCTTCTAAGTTTCAGTTAGGATGTTAGGAATACATTTGCTTTCTCAGTCTTTCAATGTTTTTGTCAGAAATAGTATTTTTCTCTAAGATCTATGTGTATTTGATGAATTTGATGCCATAAATTATTTCAAGTAGTAATTTTCATTAGAATATGATATATATATTAAGAAGATAGACTATACATATAAGAAAGAATCGCTTCTGAATAAATGTACTAAAGAATACTGAATGCAACAACCTGTTTTTAAAATGTAAGCGATGGAGGCCAATATGTTAGTTCCTTCATAAAAGTATTCTCCACTTTCAACTGTGTTTCTATGAAGAATAAGGAAAAAGTATACTTGATAACATTATCCCAACTTTGAGGGGAAAAAAGAAACAGTCCCAACTTTGGAATGTAAACGGTATAAATTAATCTCTTAGGATAATTCATTTCAAGTAAAAAATTTAAAAATAACAACTTCAGTTGAATAAAACCTAAAAACGTACACATCTCCAACACAATCTTTCACGTAGTAACTGAGAAATCAAACAAGCATAAAATATTTAAAGCAAACCTGTAGAAACAAACCTCACTACACTAACAAGGAAAGAATCTCAAAGCTCTACATAACCCTCTCTGGACAGTTCCCTGGTGCTGAAGTTACACAGCCGCTAAACCGATGCCTGCGAGCTACTTTCAGTGCTGCCAGCCTCCGCAAAACCCGGCCGCCCAGTCTATGAACACTTATAGTAAAACTTCACAAGGTAGGAAACACCCCCAACTGCAGTAATGGTAGGAAGTGGAGTCTCTTCAGGATTAAACAGATTTAATAGTTGCAAACAGGAAGAGCAGCAGAGTGCAGGGTGTTAGAACCCGCCGAGGGGGAGGGGCTGGAAGATGGCGACGGCCGCACACCCACCCGAGACGCGACTAAGCTCAGGCCCCTCGCCCGCCGCGATTGTGGGCACTTCTGCTCTTCCCCAAGTTGGGGACAGATCGGCTGTGCGGCGGCGCGGGACGAAGGGCCCCGGCGGCGCCTGCATCCCCCGACTCGTGCACCTTCGCCGGGTCCCGGCCTGGGAGCACCTGTGCACGGCCATATTGGATTCCTTGCCCCAGTCCCTGCCTCCGCATGGGGGCGACCGGGAAAGAAGAAGAGACGCGCGGAGCCTGGGCTCAGCCCCAACACAGCCAGGGCCTCGGAGCCGAACTGGGTCCGCGAGAAAAGCCGGAAGGGCGCCCGGGAAAATTACACTTCCCAAAGGCTCGCCACGCTCACCTCAGCCGGGCTCCGAGCCCGCCCTCCCCGACACACACCCCCGCGCTCGACACCCAGAAAGCAGCCCCAGAGCTGGCCGCAACCCTCGTGGCCCCAGCGCCGCCAGCGGGCGGGGAGGGCGGCGATCCAGGGCGCGCCGGCGGCCGCCGAGCAGCGGCCGAGGGGGCGGAGGGGAGGGAGCAAGGCGGGAAGATGGAGCCGCGTCCTTACTTGAGCACTGACTGCTCCTTCTCCTCTTCTTTCTTCTGCCGGTCCATGACGGCCAGGATGATTTTCCTCTCCTCCTCCGTGAGGTGGCTGAGGTCCGGCATCTCGGGCTGCAGAGGCGGCTGAGAGGCCGCCGGGGTAGGAACCGGGCGGCCCCGGGGCCCGACAGGAGCCGACATGTTTGGTGGAGCCGAACCACCCTAGGGAAACAGGGAGGCAACTCCACTGGCGGCAGCGGCGGCAGCACCGGTGCGGGCGGCTGGGGCAGCCTCCGGCGCTGGGACAAATACATACAAATCAATGGCCTTCAATCTGAGGCGACAGCCCCCCTCTCTGAAGAAAGAGCGAGCAGGGGGAGGGGCAGACGAGCCCGGGGGGAGGGGAGCTGGGGAGTGCGCTCCGGGAAATGTTTCTTCTTCCCGGGGGCGAAGGGCTGGCAAGTGAGCGGCGCGGAAGAGAGGAGCTGGAGGCCAAGCCCGGACGCCAAGTGCGCGAAGCGGCGGGGGAGGGCGGTGGAGTAAGGTAGCGGGAACGGCTGAGGGTGGGGTGACTGAGCGAGAGAGGGTGGGAGGGCGGCGCGCGGGCCTGGGCGAGAGTGTGTCCGGCCGCGGCGGGGGGCGCACGCGCCGCCTGGGGGGAGGGGTGACGGCGACTCTGTCCCCCGGGGGACTCCCAGGAACTCGCTCCGGACGCGGGAGGAGGTAT